GAACAATAACAATGGAATCATTATATGATCCTTAAGGGCTTGGGTAAGAGCACTTTGAACAACCAAAGGGATTTGTGAAATTAAAATACCATCACTTAACAGCCTTGAATCTTTAGGTATGCAGGGGCTGTCATTCGGAGATCCTCCTTGGTATAAAAATCTGCAGCAATGCATCTGAGGGAACTGTGATCTTTGACCGACCCAGTAGGTAGTAAAATAGAAGGAGACTGCCTAGCGGAAAACGGCTGGGTCCTTTAACGGGTTGAATGGTTAAACTGTGTTACATCTGTGCCACGGAAAACTTTGTAACAATAAAAAGGAACAAGCCACTCATTGGTGCAACAACTTGGATCATGCCGAGTGGAAAACAGCCAATCCCAAAAGGATGCATGCCCACGTGATTCTGTTCATATAACATTCTTGGAATAACAAAGTTCTAGGGATGGGGGCCAGACTGATGATTGCCAGGCATTCGGAATAGGAGGCAGGGGACGTGTGAGGCTGGAAAGGGGTTGCAGGAGGGCTCCTTGTGACTGTGGGAGCGCTCACAGGCCACCGCGCACACGCGCGTGCGCACACACACACACAAAGTGCCCGTGAAACCGGTGAGATCTGGGTAGCTCTGCGGACCCCCAGTGACCATTCCCTGGCCTTCCTAGCGTGCTGCACTTGTGGAAGGTGTTCCTGTGGGGGGAAGGAGGCGAAGGGTCCTTTTTTTTCTTTTCTTTTTTTTTTTTTTTTAACTTCTTATGCATCTATAGTGATTTCAAAATAAAAAGTTAGAAAATAACGACTGGAAGTCTGAGAGTGATGAATCATAATTACTGACTCATGTGAAACTAAGGGTGGGCTCCAGGAAACAAAAACCTCTCTTTTTGGCTCAGTGGTGGGTGAAGCTGCCAAAGAGCCATGCAGTTCTGAACTTGTAACCTTTCCCATCCATATGTGATGACTTGATTTGTAAATACAGTCAGAGAATGAAAGTATTTTGAAATGTGTAAAGGTGATTGTGTGGAGATACAAGCTTGTGACATTGACAGTGGACACGGGCGTTCTGTGTTGGGAGCGTACGTGGGCAGCCGCACACCCCCTCTCTTTGTCAGAACCTCGCAGAGAGAACACTCATGTGCTTTTTTTTTTTTTAAAGATCTTATTTATTTATTCATGAGAGACAGAGAGAGAGAGAAAGAGAGAGAGAGGGGCAGAGGGAGAAGCAGTCTCCCAAGGAGCAGGGAGCCCGATGCGGGACTCGATCCCAGGACCCTGGGATCTGACCTGAGCCGAAGGCAGACCTTTAACCATCTGAGCCACCCAGGTGCCCAAGAACACTCATGTGCTTTACAGTTAGTTCCTCAGCCTCCTTCTCAGTGTTCAGCAGCCCTGGGAAGGTCCTTCCAAGAAGCCAAGGGTGATACAGAACAATAACAATGGAATCATTATATGATCCTTAAGGGCTTGGGTAAGAGCACTTTGAACAACCAAAGGGATTTGTGAAATTAAAATACCATCACAGTTACTGTTTTATGGCTGCCTGACCCAAATAGGATGGAGCCTTTATGATTTTTCCTGGTTTGACCCACGAAGCCACTAATTGGGGTTTTCCTCTTGGCAGTTAACAATAGCAAAGTGAGGACTACCTCTAAGCTGTGTTCGGCCCTGACTCTTTCCGGCCTCGTGGAAGTGAAAGAGGTATGTTGGTCGACCACCTTCTTTGCTGGGATTTGAAAGCTTGGGTGACCCCACCCAGGATCTCTGCCAGTCGATCTGGAGAGAATCAGAGGGGAATAGCGCCCTGAAGGTGAGGTGTGCTATGTTTCATGGGCTGGGAAGCAAGCTGGGAAGCAAGCTGGGAAGAGCTTTGTGTGTAGGATATGTGATGCCTCAAAGGACAGAACCTCTGGAACAACTCTCCTTTGAAGAGGCTCTGCGTGGGCCCACGGGGGTGGGGGCACATTCTGGTCTCCGTACTGGTGTAGTGGTGCTGCCCACAGAGGCAGGGAGAGGGCCACACAGGGCCCTTAATGACACAAATCCTAGGTCCAAGTGAAATGCGGGCACCTGAATTGTCCTCAGATACCTGGTGGATGCTGGAATGGGTTGGGGGAGACTACCCCATTTCTGACAATTCAGTAAAAATATTTAGATGAAATAGAGGTGATTCTATTTCTACATCCTTCTTTGATGTTGAAATTTTCATGTGTGAGAGGTAAGTGCAACACCATTATAATTGTTATACCACTGATTTGCAACATGACCTAGGGCCTTAGTTTCTTTATGCCCACTCTTTCTTGTTTTTCTTTTTCGTTTAGGGTTTTCTGTTTTTTAAATCTAAATTAAGAGATGCTCATATAAATTCAGTTAATACTAAAGAATATAGAATTAGAAAGTGACATTCCAGGCCTTCCTCACGCTTCCCTCCCTCAGAGGAAGTCACCAATACATTTTTTGTGTGTGTGGCTGTTCAGACCTTTTTTGTATTTACGGGTGTGTGTATGTGTGTGTGTGAGAGAGAGAGAGAGAGGAAGAGAGATAGAGTACTTTTTTAATGTAAATGAGGTCATATGTCTACATTATTCAATCACTAGCTTTTTCTCCCACCTTTAAATACCTTCCACATTTATCCACCTCAGCTCATTGCCCCTCACTTTTTTTTTTTAAGATTTTATTCATTAGAGAGAGAGAGAGAGAGAGACACAGCACAAGCAGGGGGAGAGGCAGAGGGAGAAACAGGCTCACCACTGAGCCGGGAGCCCGATGTGGGGCTCGATCCCAGGACCTAGAGATCATGACCTGAGGCGAAAGCAGACGCCCCGCCCCTCACTCTTCTTAATGATGTAACAATATTGAGGGCTGTGGAGGGGCTATGATTTATTTAACCATTCCGTAGTTGTTGGACACAGAGGTGGCACTCCCCCGTTTTTTCCTACCTTAGCATCTGCTACCTGTTCCCAAGAAAACATTTCCCTCCCTCTATGGCCTTTTTTCTTTCATTTCTGCTAGGTTTACTGTGGGCATGCTTCCCTGCTGTAGGCTGTGATCCTATGCAGCATGTCTGACTCCACTTTATATTCATAATCATTACAACCCGTGGAATGACTGGCACAGTGCCTTGTACCTAATAGACAGCGATGTGGTAAACACTTTAAAACTTCCCAGAGGGTTGGCTCAAAGTAAGCAGACAAAATGACACTCTCTAGGGTACAGATCACTGAGAAACTGAACGTGAGGCCTGAGGTGACATCTGTCGTCATCTGCTATCATATGCTTAACACAGAAATGAGTATTTGATGCCTGTACAGGTGGGCATAGTACCACATTATTTTGTGGAAAGAGTGTGGCCTAATCCTTCTGATGTCTTGAATTCCAGCTGCAGCGGGAGTCCTTGAGCCCCGAAGAGATACAGTCTGTCCAAGAACACCTGGATTACCAAAGCGACAGCTTGCTCTCTGTGAGCATCACAGGCAAAAAACCCAACTTTGAAGTGGGTTCTTCTAGTCAATTGAAGCTTTCTCTTGCCAAGAAGACTTCTCCTCCAGGTAAGACTGGCCCGGGGACATTGTTCTGTCCGGGTGGGCCTAGAAGGACATCTTCGACGTTGAACCAGAGAAATGGATGGAGGCGGTGATGTCTCCAGAGGATTAGTCCTTCCTTCATTTCTGTCATTTCCAAATGGAAGAATGTTTAATGTTGTATTGTCCTGGGCATATTCAGATCCAAATGTGAAATGACGGATAGCTGTTACCTCGCTCAGCCCCTTCTGCACCAGAAGACACTGAGGCCCCCAGATTCTAGAGGCCTGAGCCACATGGTTTAGCTAACAACGTCTTCCCACGCCCCAGAATTACGACAGTTGTCCTCAGGAGATCTCACAGTGGCGGTCGTGGTCGGTAAGAGTGGCCTGCTCCGCTTCCCACGTGTCCTTTCTGTGCTAGTAAAGTCAGCCTTTCTTACTTTGAGGAGCATAAGCCACTTATAAAAATATTTCTTCTCAGAAAGTTGCACCTGCCCTTTGCCGCCCCCTCACCTCATCACTATTTCATGATTCCCGAATTGAGAGAAATTGTCCCAGCTCTGAGGTATGAGAAAATTCACAGGTACATTCACACTGCTCTGCCTTGACTGGCCAGCCACAATCTTTAAGAAATCCCACTGGAATCCCAGCCTTTGGATTCATGGTTCTGGAATGGGCAGGAAGGGCTCAGAGGAGCAGTTTGCCCTGGGGACGGTCTGAGCCTCCCCCTGCAGCAGTGATCTTCGGGGCTGCACTCACCGCCCCCCCCCGCCCGCCCCAGGCCCGTCTGAGGGCCCGGCCACGCTGACTCTGGGCTCAGCTCTCAGGGCCCTTCCTGCACAGACAGGGTCGGGAGGGGTGAGCGTTGGCGTCTGCCGCTGGTTTGCGTCACACTGCCGCCCCCGGCTCTGGAGCTGGCTTCCTCGTACGTGACGGGTTCCCATGAGGCAGAAGCTTTTGCACACTTTCCCGCTTGATCTTCCGATCTCCTGCAGTAGGTCTAGGGAGGACAACCAGCCCCAGGTTCTAGGGACGGAGACTAAGATAAGGACAGAGCAATGTGGAGTGAAGTCAGGCACATCAGACAGGCTCCTCTTTGTGGCTCTGTAGAAGTGGCCTAAATGTCGGAGACGGTTTCCTCATCTATAAAATAGAAGAGCACGTACTCACCTTAAAAGGGTCGTAGCAGGAGGTAATCCACACAGCGCACAGAGCAGGTGCTTAGCAGATACTGGCGTCTGTCTCTGCGAAGCGACTGGGCCCGGGCCACGCCTGCTCCAAGTGGTGGAGCTGGGCCTTGGGCCCAAGCCTCCTGCCTCCCAGTCCCGTGTGCTCTCCAGAGTCTCAGGAGAAAGCACGCACATAGTAGGCCTGTGGTTTGTTTCTGCTGCTTTGACGAAGCTCTTTTCCTTTTATCCGTTGGGACTCAGTGAAGCCCGCCGTGGACCCTGCTGCGGCCAAGCTCTGGACCCTGTCAGCCAACGACATGGAGGATGAGAGCGTGGTGAGTCGGCCTGTGGTCCGTGGACTGCTTCCTGTGCGGCCTGCTTCAGGGTGGCCTCTCTGCACGTGGAGGTGTAAAGCCCAGTGTTGCGGCTCTGCCTGTGGCTAGCAGTTTTGATTGAGAAGGAAACTCTACATTGGTGGCATTTTAAAATCCTTTTTTTGGCATCTCTTTTCCCCACAGATTTTCTTATTCTCACTTCATGTGATATGTTAAAGATTCTGGTGGGCATGTGTGAACCTGAAAAGAGTTTGTCAGCTAAAATATGTTATTGGCTCCTTGATCTGGGCAAGTCACTGCACACTCACTGTCTTAAAAGCAGTCCTTGTCCATCTTTGATCAATACCGTCTGTTAAAAAGTTCTTCATTTCTGCAGCTGCTGACGTTATACTGATAGCAAAACAGGTCGTGATTCATGTCCTTGTAGAATTTACAGATGAATTGTCCACACGTCTATCGAAGGATTACACGAATGTATATACCATTATTTGCCTTCTTCTCTGGAATTATATAGAAAATATTCTATTCCCTTTTTCACATGACAGCCCTTAGTATATGCAAATAAATAAATATAACATCTCTCTTTTTGTTCTTCCTGCTCCCTCCCCACACACACACTCTCAAATTGTCTACACACTGTAAATTACTTCCCAGCCCCCTCAAACCTTGTGCATCTTCTGTGGACATAGTTGACTTCACTGTGGTGGTCAGCTTGAACGTGATGATCAGCCCAAAGTAGGTCTGTGGATGCCCTCTTTACACAGGCCGTAGAAACCCACTACCACAGCCCTTTATTCAGCCATCTAGCAGCAGAGACCGTGACTGTGTCACTAACTTCTTTGAACGCTCTCTAGGATCTCATTGACTCAGACGAGCTGCTGGATCCAGAGGATTTTAAGAAGCCAGATCCAGCTTCCCTGCGGGCTCCTTCATGTGGGGAAGGGAAAAAGAGGAAAGCCTGCAAGAATTGGTAAGTGTTAGCATTAAGTGGAGTCTGCTGGGCAGCTTCTAGTGGCTTCTGAGTCTCAAGGAATCATAATACTTGACTATTATTGAAATATTTATTTTATTGTGAAATGTGTCATACATACGGAGGAGTAGATTAATCAGGTACATTTTAAAGAGTAATAAAAACGAATAGCTGTGTACTGATGACCCAGGTTAAGAATCAGAAATATGACTAGTATCTTAGAAGTCACCTCTCCATGCTTCCTCAGCTGCATCTTGCTCCCTCTCCCCACAAAGGTTACCATCCTCCCAAGTTCGTATTAATCATTCCTGGCTTATTTGATAGTTTACCACCGAGTGTGAAGCTCCAAGTGATATATTCTTGAGTTGTGAAGAACGGAGTAGGAGGCCCAACCCTGGCGAGACAAGGAAACGTCAGTCCCCTCCATCTGTGAAGGCTCCCAGTGATCTTCTGGGCTGGGCGCTTTGAGGATCTCCTGGAGTCCCTCCCGGGGCTATCAGTAGGGAGAGTCGTGGGAGAGCTCTGGGACCCCAAGGGCATGCGCAGAGGGCACACCGGGCAGGGCTGTGGTGTGCCGGCGTGACTGGGCAGCCAGCCAAAGTGTGGTCAGAGGGCGTGGGCTGCCCCGGCGGTTCTGCTCTAAGCCCGCCAGAGGGGGAGCTCTCCTCCTCGGAGCCGAGCACAGCACCCGTGGCCTCAGATCAGCGCGGGGAGGGACGGGAAAGCTGAGTGTTAGCAGCGCCTGGTCGAGATAAGCCCGGGACAGGGTCTGGGCTGGCTTGCCTTCGCTTGGGGACAAAGAACGGTATGATGGCGGCTTGGTTTGTGACAGTGGCAGCCGTCAGCCCGTCCGTCTCCTGGGCCCCCACTCCAGTGCGCACATGCGACTCTGTCCACGGCAGAGCTGACGTCTGGGGGTCCCCCGCACTGTTCCCCTCGGGGCTCCCCTCTTTCTGACCTACGTTAGCTTTTCTGGCTTTTGTAGCCCCTGCTGCTTTCTTGGTTTTCTCTCTCACTTTGGTGGAGCCCATTCTCCAGTAGCTGCTTTAGAAAGGCTACTTGAGAGGCAACTTGGTTTTTTTAGATTTATTTTCAGACTTTGTGTGGCTAAACGTGTTTTTTTTTCTGTTCTCATAAATGGTCATTTGGGTATAGAAATCTAGAGGCTGGAAATAATTTTCTTACATGATTTTGAAGACATTTCTGTCTTTTTTCCAGATACAAAGGTATCTGAGGCCATTCTGTTTCTTGATCCTTTCTGTAAGACCTCTTGTTCCATTCTGGAAGTTTGTAGAATCTTCTTTATCCCTGGTATCATTTTGTAATGTATCTTTTTTTTTTTTTTTTAAGGATTTTGTTTATTTATTTGACGGAGAGAGACACAGCGAGAGAGGGAACACAAGCAGGGGGAGTGGGAGAGGGAGAAGCAGGCTTCCCGCGGAGCAGGGAGCCCGATGCGGGGCTCGATCCCAGGACCTGGGATCATGACCTGAGCCGAAGGCAGACGCTTAACGACTGAGCCACCCAGGCGCCCCTGTAATGTATCTTGAATAAGGGTCTGTTCGCATCTTTTGCACTAACCATTCAATGCAGCTTTTCAGTCTAGAAGTCATGCCCATAGTCTTGGGAAATATTCTTTAATTTTGTATGTGAGTTTTGCCTTCTCTCTTTGCTTTCTCTGTGGCCTGTTCCTCAGACGTTAGGCCTCTTTAATTGGTCCTATCGTTTTCTTTGCTTCTACATTTTCTTTATGCTCTACTTTCTGGGAAATTTCTACAGGTTTATCCTCCAAAATTTCTGTTGAGTTACTTTATTTCTACTCATATTTTTAATTTCCATGATTCCTTCTTTTTGTTTTGCCCTTTTTTTTTTTTTAGTATAGTGTCCTATTTTTATTTTGCGGGTGTGATCTCTTCTCTTTTCCTTGAGGTTCGTGATAGTTCTTTGGAGGTTTTTTTCCTCCCTGCATAGTCTCTGTTTCTTCCAACTTGCTTTTTTCTTTTTTCTAAGATTTTATTTATTTATTTGAGAGAGAGGGAGAGTGAGCAAGCGAGAGAGCACAAGACCATGAAGGGGGGCAGAGGGAGAGGGAGAAGCAGACTCCCTGCTGAGCAGGGAGCCCGATGTGGGGCTCGATCCCCGGACCCCAGAATCTTGACCTGAGCTGAAGGCAGACACTTAACCGACTGAGCCACCCAGGGGCCCCTAACTTGCTTTTTTCTTTTAGGAGGCCTTCTACCTCCCGGGAAGCTCCGTTGTCTCCATGATTAAGAGGGGAGGACAGAAAGCTGGGAGCCCTGAGCTGGGATTTGTTGACTGTGCTTTAGTGAGGGAGCCTGAATGGGCCTGTGGGGGACACCTCAAAGTCAGCACCTTTGGGTCTCTCCCTTTGGGGTGGTTAGATTTCTTGGAGAAGGGTCTGTCGGGTGCTACCTGTTCCTTCGGAGGTTTTGGAGTGTGATGCGGGTTGAGAGTCGGCCACCTGCTGGGTGGTGGCTACCTCCCCGCCTGCTCGGAGTTGGGCTCTCCTCAGTTGGAGTCACCGCCCCCCCCTCCTGCTACGGTTCCCAGCGCTGGGTTGACTGCTGTTTCCTTTCCCGTAGTCCCTTTCTTTGCAGGTTAGGTCTTTACTGAAGTTTCGGTGAGACTTCGAGAGAAAGTAAAGTAGATGCCTGCAGTCTGTCCTCTTAACCTGAAAACCTCAGTGTTGGTATTTTTGCATTCATTTAATGGACAAAAAGGGGGGTAAAATGTTATTAACTGGTGGTGTGTGGGCTTGCTGAATCATCAGTGTTTTTTTAAGTGTGAAAGTTGCCAGCATTCACAAATCAGGAGATTTCAAGTAAAAATTCAAATTTTTTCTGTCCTTAGCTTTGGAAAATGGAAACACGGAATCTGCTTCTCCCCATAGCATTAATCAGCTGAAGCTGAGTAGTGGCCAGCCTGTGTAGACAGGGCATCTCCCCTCTGGGTCTCCTGTTGCCCACCACTCTGTCTCCCTAAATAGCCTCACACGCTTACCTTGTCAGCCTGGCCCTGTGGGTGTTTGTGAGTTAAGACGTCCCGGTATAAAGAGAGACGTTTTAGAGCGAATTTGGGCTCTGTCATGGACTTGGAGCCCCTGGGTGGTGGCAAGTCTCACTCACAAGCTCCTGATTTTCCCCCAGCACCTGTGGCCTCGCGGAAGAACTGGAAAAAGAGAAGTCAAGGGAACAGACGAGCTCCCAGCCCAAGTCGGCTTGTGGAAATGTAAATATCTGGATCGTTACTCAATATTCACAAAACCCCCGGTGGTATTGGGCCTCATCTTAAGCCCAACACAGACTAGCTCCAGCTCTCAGTTACTGCCCAAATATTTTAATAATGGGTAAATATGTGAGAATGTGTATATAGGAGAGAGGTCATCTCCTGGGAGGGGCTTAGCATGCTCATTGCCCATAGGGGAGGCTCCTGTCATTTATTTTTGGCCCCATTCTTCCGACCTTATAGTGGCCTGATGCCATTCAGCCATTTGGCTGAGCTCGGCTATGATTTGAACTGCTGACAATACAGAAACACAGTCTCCTAAGGAACTTCTCTAGATCACTGCTTTTCATAAAACCAAAGCTCTTAAAAACTCTTAGTATTTGGGTTTCAGTTGGACCCGCATACGCAGCCAGCCATTTTCAACAGGCCACTGTGGCCATGCTACGAACTCAGGGGTCCCTTTCTTGCCCGTGTATGTGGGACGCGCGGACCCTGAGCTTCCCTGTGTGATCGTCTCTTCTCTCGACAGTGCTACCTGGGCGACGCTTTCCGCTGCGCCAGCTGCCCCTACCTCGGGATGCCGGCCTTCAGACCCGGGGAGCAGGTGCTCCTGAGCAGCAACAACCTCAGTGACGCCTAGGAGGGACCCGACCCGGTGCACACCCGCTCCTCTGGCCAACTCCCGACCCTCCAGGCCCACCGCTGTGGTTCCTCCCACCTCCTCTGCATTTGCTCGCTCTCTCATTTGCTTGCTCTTTGCAAGGAGCGTGCTTGGTAAACAGAGAGGAGCGGGCTCTGGGGTGCAGTGGTGTGCGGTGCAGCTATGTATCAAAAGGCCTGAGTGTCACGGGGCCTGGTTACTCCGAGTGGGGGGACCTGTTTCTGCACTTCATGTTAGGGCACGCATCCTGAAGAGGCCACTCCCCCGACGTCAATGCTGACCTGTCATTTGGAGCCCAGACACCCGGGAGTGTTAACGCTCTGGGACAAAGAGGGCCCCCGCCCCACTTCCAAGCTCAGCAGTAGTGCCACTAGCGGTCTTCCAGAGGTGGCGGTCTCCTCAACATGCAGTTGTTGGTGACAGGAGTCACGTGTCTCGTGGCCTCCTCGGGACACCGAGGGACTCACCCGTTGGTTGCTGTGATCACACCCCGTGTCCCTCTCTCCCTTCCATCCCCACCTCACCCCTGTTTTACTGTATTGTATCTGTCAGTTATTAGAGTCGTGTACTTCAGCACGTCCCTTGTGGAGAGGGGCGTGTGTGTGAGTGTGTGATGTCTGACACGGCCATCTGCGTGCAGCTTGGACCACGAAACTTTCTTTATTGAAGAGACTTGGTGTCACACCAGTGGGGCCAGTCCTACACTTAAGGATCAGCGCCTCTCTTCATCTACTTGAGAAGAGACCAGGTTGATAAGGATTTAAAGGAAGCAGGACAGAAATCTGAAACAACAATAAATCTCTCTGACCAAGAGACCTCTCATTCTCTTTGTTATTCACTCACACAGACTGGAATTGATCTTGCCAAATAGTCGGAGAGATCGTGTGGATTTAAGAGACCAGGATTTGGGTGGGTACCTGGCTGGCTCAGTCACTAGAACATGCGACTCTTGATCTTGGGGTCCTGAGCTTGAGTGCAATGTTGGGCATAGAGATTACTTAAAAAAAAAGAGGGGCACCTGGGTGGCTCAGTCGTTAAGCGTCTGCCTTCGGCTCAGGTCATGGTCCCAGGGTCCTGGGATCGAGCCCCGCATCAGGCTCCCTGCTCGGCAGGAGGCCTGCTTCCCACTCTCACTCCCCCTGCTTGTGTTCCCTCTTGCAGTCTCTGTCAAATAAGTAAATAAAATCTTTAAAAAAAAAAAAAAATGCATCCAGGATTGAGAATCACTGCCCTAGAGAAGTTCTTTTCCGCATGCACCGGAAGACAAGCTAAAAAATGGTATTTTAACAGCAAGAACCTGGAAATAGTCCAAATGGCCTTTAACAAGAGGATGGATGAACGAGTTGTGTCATCACATGGTGGAAAACGGTGTGCTGGAGCTGTGCCCGGGGGTGCGGAGGGGTCTCCCACGGAGAGCTGCCAGAGCAAATTACAGGAGAACGTGTGTGCGGTGTGTGACCTCTCCCATAGAGCGCAAGGTTTGAAAACACAAGATGCATCAATGGGAGGGATATATAGTCTATATACTATGTATACACACACACGTGACTAAAGGAAATCAAGAAGAATGATAAAATGCAGGAACAATTGTCTCTGGAGGTTGATGGGAAGATGACATTCTATAAGGAGAGGAAATGGGGCTTCTAAGCAGAAGGAAGGTTCTGTTTATTAAGGTGGCTGGTGGCTATACAGGTGTTTATTACTGGTTTGTATACCTTACGTATACATTATCTACTTTTGTATCTATAAGAAATTTCATTAAAAAAAAAACTAGGAAGGGATGCCTGGGTGACTCAGTCGGTTAGGTGATCCACTTGGTTTCGGCTCCAGTCATGATCTCAGAGATCGAGCCCCACGTCAGGCTCTGTGCTGAGCATGGAATCTGCTTAAGATTCTCTCCCTAGGCCCCTCACCCCCACCTCTCTCTCCCTCTCTCAAAAAAAAAACCCCCAAAACAAACAAAAAACTAGGAAAACCCACACATAAAAGCTGCGTGTTAAGGAAAACGCCTGCTCGCCCAGAACGCAGTCCTCCACCTCTCTGACACGAACCTCCAGGAAATAATTGGCACAGTTAAAATTCCATTCAAAATTGTAAAAGTGGAACCAACGCTAATCCTAACAATAACAAAGCAGAGGATATTATCTGTGGCCAAAAGAACTTGCTGTGGATCACACATGGATGAAGTACGCCACAGAGACACACGAGCCCAAGGGCATGACTCCTAAGGCATAAACGGGGAGGGATTCCTGTGGCTGACCCTATACCGCAGAGCTCAGGCAAGAAACGTAAAACCCCAGAGGGGAAGTGGCCGTGAAGGAGAGAGCACTAGGAAGAACGGAGAGTGCTAAAAACAGGGGCAGCGAGGACAGGAATAAGAAAACGAACCAAAATGAGATGGACATGAAGAGGGGAAAAAGGAGCGGCGAGACAACGACTCAACACAGAAGGTAAAAGAAACACAGTATCTCAGAATCTTCATGGAAAGAGACAATTCCAGGAAGTTTCCAGAAAGCAAGCAAGAGTGGGTCTCTCCGTTGAAGGCAAAAGTGGCACAGAACGTTCAATTCTAAAAATAACTGTTTTCCGGGGTGCATGGGTGGCTCAGTCAGTGGAGCGTGGCACACTTGATTTCGGCTCAGGTCATGACCTCGGGGTCGTGGAACCGAGCCCCGCGTCCGGCTCCGCGCTCCGCGGGGAGTCCGCTAGATTTTCTCTCTCTCCCTCTGCCCCTCCCCCTGCTTGTGCTCGTGCGCTCTAAATAAATAAACAAACAAACAAATAAAATCTTTAAAAAAAAAAATAAGCGTGTTCTTAGCGGCGGCCCCTGGACCTGTGCCGGCGGCGGGCGGCGCGATCTCCAGGAGGCGCTGTTAACGCCCGATTCCCTTACCTCTGAAACACGGTGGCGCTCTCCGTAAACAACCGCCGTGAAGGTTTGGGTGGTCTTGAAAAGTTGCTGGTTTGTGCTTGTGTTATCTTCTCGGTGCCCTCAGTCTGTCCCTGCTTCCGCGGCTGTCCCGGCACAGTGGCAGACCTGGCGGGGACGCGGGGCGCGCGCGGTGGGGACAGCGCGGCTCTCACCGCCCCCCGCCCCCGGCTGGACAGCGGGCTAGGGACGCGAGGCTCCACGCAGCCCTGGGCGGCCTCGCTTCCGGGCGGGGCGGGGGCGGGGCGGGGGCGGGCCGATCACCGGTCACACCGCCCGCGGCTACACCTGCGAGGAAGCCCTGCAACAACCCGGAAGCCGGGTTAGGCTCAGCGGGGCTCCGAGGCGCCAAGTCCCTCCCTTTCTCCCTTCTCTCTTCGTTGACCATCCCTTAAACATTCTGTCTTGGACGTTAGGCCAGTTTTCAAATAGAGTGAGATACACTGTAACACAGCTGGATTCGTTGTTTTTCATTCAGATCAACTCTATTCTTCAGTACCTGAAGTGTTACAGCTGTGTTGCCCCATTCCTTCTCTGCGCTCCCCAGAGGGGTTCTCTCTCCTGAAGGTGGTGCCCGGCACCCCCATGCTGCTTCTATAGTGTTTCTCTGCAGAAAAGGGCTTATGTGAAGCTTGCCCCCCTTTTTTTGAAGTCAAATCGACATAACGTAAAGTGAACCATTTTAATGGGAACAACAGTGCACGCGCAATGTTGTGCAATTATCACTTCTGTCTAGTTCCAAACGTTTCCATCACCCCCAAAGGCAGCCCTGTACCTGTCCAACATCTGGGCTTTCTCCCCCATCCCCCCTGCGCCCGGCAACACCCATCTGCAGTCTGTCTCTGGGGACTTGCCCCTGTTCTGGGCATTTCATATGAATAGACTCATACAGTGTGTGTGACCTTCTGTGTGTGGCTTCTCTTGGCATGTGTTCAAAGTTCATCCCCCTGTAACACCTATCAGTACTCACTCCTTTCTGTGGCTGAATAATATTCCATTGTATGTACACGCCACTGTGTATCCACGTATCCCCTGATGGACATCTGGGCTGCTTCCATCTCTTGGCTATGGAGGATAGTGCTGCTATGAACATGGGCATATATGCACTGAGCATGCCCCCCCTTTTTCATGATCGAAAAGTTTTATTATAGAACTAGTAAACACTTCGATCTAAAGGTGGAGGGATGGGCAAGGGCTAAAACCTAATAAACTAGGGAAACATATTTATTACATATATGAGAGACAGGTAATTAGTCTTGATTAATAGGCAGGTTTTACAAATCAATAAAATGTTGGTTCAGTGAGGAGGAAACTGCAGGTTTTCTCAGACTCTGATCCCCTACGGGCAATGTGGGAGCAGAAAAGCAGCAGACTATAAGCCCTCATTCTCTTGACTGGGCACATCCTCAAGCCCATTAGAGAAGGGTCCGATTTCATCATTTTAGGGAGAAACAGGCCCAGGAAGGTGGAGTGATTGTGTCAAGACCCCACAGCCAGTCAGGACCAGAGCAGATAAAGGGCAGGTCCCCGACCTCTGTGTGAAAATGTACCTGTGGGGTTTTAGTTTATGTCGGAGACTGCGTTGACAGAGAGAGGTCAGCGCTAGTCTGACTACTGACACTTCCCAAGAGAAGGGGCCGTGGGCCACCACTCGGGGCAGAGGAGAAAACAGAGAGGCCACAGTTTCTATTGGGGTCCGCGTGGGAAAAGCACCGCCGGGCAGGGGAAACTCCTGAGGGTGGGCTACGGTGAATAATTCCGACAGGCTTCGGACAGGGGACCGTCCCTAGTGGTCTGGTCCCCGGCCCCGGGTGATCTGGCGCAGGGGACACAGTGGTCTGCGGTGTGAGTTACAGAAAGGAGGCGTTTAGGGGAATGAGCTCCAGGTTGGTTGGAGAGTCTGCCGTGTGATTTTCGCGTGCCTTCCAAAGCTGGAACGCAGGGGAGGCATAACTAGCTTCGGCCATGACGTCAGCCCTGTCAGGACTGGTGGCCAAACAGGCCAATACGGAATCTAAGAAAACACAGCGTGAAGAGCCCTGGCGCGCTGCTCCGGGCGCTGGCCACGTCGCGGCTGGAATGAGCCGCCCTGTACGTCCCGGTTTTTTGCTTCTTCCTCTTCATCCCGCTAGCCCTAGGCAGAGTGTTGGTGGTTTCCGGGCCTCTGCTCCCCCAGGAGAAGGGCAGACACCCAGATCCGGGGCCCCGAGCAGCCACCATCGGAAGTGGGTGACCCGGCCCCCGGGGACCGAGCGGAGGAGGCGGGGCGCCTCGGCGGTCAGGCACCTCCCGCTTGATCTTTATCTGGGGGGGGGGCCGACGCGCCCTCTGGTGGCCAAGCGCAGAGCAACTCAGTTCTAAATTCCACTTCAAGACCAAGCTTGAAGCCCGGTTTTCAAGGCATCGGCTCCTCCGCGATTTCTCTTTCTCTGTTCGTGCCCCTCGTGAAGTTCAGCCGGAGGCTGGTTGATGTAGATGTGTAAATCACATGTCCACTATGCACAAAGCACCCCTCCCCCCCTTATAAATGAGTCAGGTACGGAGTCGCCTGACCCAAATACCAGCCCCCCATGAGCTCACCAGTGAGACAAAGGTGCAGTAGGTATAGTAAAGGGGGCAGAGTGTGGTAGAGGTGAGGCTGAGGCCGGAGGGGGGAGCTGGCGGAGGGTCAATGCAGCCAAGCTGAGCTCCGAAGGGGGTCTGGATTTCAGTCGAAGGAGGGGACACCCTTTCCAGGTGGGAGGGACAATGTTCTCTGTTCTCTGGTCCCTGCCCAGTCCTCTTCCTCGCCAGTCAGGGGAGTCCCCAAGTCGCGATTCCTTCAGATGGCCCCTTTTCGGAGGGACGTGGTGGCTGCTCCCATCGCCTGCATCTTGTCCCCCCCCACCTCCTTACAACCTGATCATGCTGTTAAACATCCTCACAGTTCTCCACGAAGCTGAACTCCTCTGAGCTTACAGATGGGCCTCTGAGGACGATTTCACTCAGACAAAAAGGTTTTGCTTCTTTTAAAATGCTTTGCACATGAATAAAATTGGTGTCCTCTCGAGTGTCTTTAAGCTCCAAACTGCAAAGGTGAGGGATCTGGGCCCCAGCCCTTGTTCTCCCTTGCTGTCACGGGAGCTCCTTCTTGCCTCCCTCTCTTTGGAGATTGTTTTTTCCTCCACTCCCCATCCGGCCCCACCCCGTGGATCCAGAAGACCTCAGACAGAGCTGCCCCCAGGATTCTGGGTCCAAGGCAGTTGTTGGAGGGATTCTCCTCGGGATCAGGGCCGGGGAAGAGCCCACCTATGGTCGAGGAGACCCTGGGTTCACAAAGAAGCCAGTTCACCATCATCAGCCTCATTATGATTGTTGTTTGTCCTGTTTTATTCCTGCTCCTACTAGAAAGTGGGCTTGGGTCCGTCATCTGGCCTGCAATAAGACGACTGACCACAAGGGGGCAACAGGAGACAAAACTGCTGAAAATAACGCATAATTGGCAGCCCTCAGTGCGGATCACAGAATCCTAGGAAGAGAAGGACCCTCTGCCCCTGCCCCCAGAGTGCATCCCAGAGAGAGGAGCCATGAGGCCTTGGCTGGTCAGGAGAGTGGGACAGAACTAGAACCCAAAAACCCTGTTTCCCCCACACCTAGCACACTATGGCTCGGGCCCTGACTTGTGCTTGCTCAGAGCAGTCTGGGGTTAGGGAGTTCATCTCCCCATCCCCCATCCTTCTTAGCACTTAGGCTGTGGGGCGCTCAGGGTGGTTCATGGAGCTCCCCTCTAACGGAGGAGCCAGGACTGACAGACCCGCACAGCGGTCATCTGGGAGAACAACCCCATCACGGCGGGCTGCCCTCTGGTCCCTAAGAGCAGGAGGAATCAGAGGAAGAGAGAGAACCCGATGGGCAGCTTCTTGGGGAAGGCCTCCTGGAGACTGGGCTCATCCCTCGGACACCCCCAGCTCCCCGGCCTGGGCCTCTCTCACCAGGACTGTCTCTCACCCCTCATGTGTGATCTGCAGTGGCCATGTCCCCCTCTCAGCCTCAAGTTTCCCTTTCTGGACTGGACAGGGCAGGACCAGATGTTCTTCCAGTGTGACAAACTGGGTGGCCAGAACACACTGACCCAGACTAAGGTATGAAGAGAGAGACTTTTTCTTTTTTTTTTTTTAAGATTTTATTTATTTATTTATTTATTTGAGAGAGCACGAGCAGAGGGAAGAGGCAGAGGCAGTGGCAGAGGGAGAAGCAGACTCCCCACTGAGCAGGGAGCCCGATGTGGGGCTCGATCCCAGGACCCCAGGACCATGACCTGAACCAAAGGCAGACGCCTAGCCGACTGAGTCACCCAGGTATCCACGAAGGAGAGAGACTTTAATCTGGGCTCTTTCTGCTATGGTTCCAGTCCAGAAAGGGGGGCAGGGGTCCCCTTTGTCCTTGTAGGGCCTCCCCTGGACTCAGGCAGCTCGGGGTTGGGGTAGTGAACACTGAGGCTGGAGGTCTCCAAATGGTCCAGGCAGAAATCAGGATTTTTGGAGCCCAGGGTCCCGCATGCTTTCTAAATATCTGACTGCCTTCTTCACCTTCGTGTCCTTGGGGTCTGAACAGATGGACTTGTCGTGGACAGTTACAAGCCTACACGAGAGAGAGGAACCCGTCAGCAGGTGTCAGGGCAACAAGGCCTTCCGGAGCCCTGGGATCAGCCTTGCTCTGCACTGACCAGGACCCTGAGGCCCCAAGAGGTGCACCTGAAGTCACACAGCACCTCGGTGACAGATCTGGGACATCAGGCTTGCCGGCAGTGATCTTGACTCCCAAGGTCCCTGCCAGTCCCTCCCAGGGAGCCAGGACTGCAGGACGTTCTGCCCCCCACTTCGGCTCGCTCACTTCCATCGAAAGCCTAGGAACTAGGGGTGCCCAGGAGGCGCCCAGCTCAGGTCCAAGCTGAGTGCCGGTGTGACATGAGGCTGCCCTGTCTCTTGGGGCCTCAGTTTCCCCATAAATCGGTGAAGGGGTTGAACCTCATGGCCTGGGGCCTTTTGGGACTCACAGAGTGGGGTGCAGGAGCTGCTGTGAGGAGCAGGGTCGGAGTGGGAAGGGGGCCACGAAGGCCCCACTCTCTCCTCTCCCCAGTGGCCCTTCTGGGAGCTCTAGGGGCCACCTTCTCCCAGACTCAGCTCCTAGGAGCACGGCTGGGGGAAGGGTGAGGGGGCCGGGCTCACTTACACGATGGCTTCCTTGGGACACTCCCCTGGGGTCTTGTACCACGTTTTCAGCCTTTTGAGAGGAACGGCTCCTTTGAAGTACTTGAGGCAGCACTCCCAGCCCACATTGGTCCCTCGCGCTACGGAGAAAGGAGGCAGGAGCGGGTGTCCGTGAGCATCTGTGTGTGTGTGTGTGTGTGTGTGGTATCACAGTGGGTCCGTGGGTGTGTTTGGGAGTCTCTCAGAGGGGAGTGTCTTGTGAGCGTCTGTGTGTGTCCGTATGTGCACATTTGTGTACTGAGGAGTCTGCCCTTTGGGGATCCCTGTGGGCTTGTAGGTCTCTCTGTGCATATATGTGCGGGTGTTTGGGAGGGTTTGTGTGCACAGGTCTCTCTGTGTGTCTTTGCCTGTGTGTGTCTGTGTGTGCATCTGTGTGTGGACACACTTGTGTGTGTGAGGTCTCTCTGTGTGCTCTGGGGGGCCCTGAGTGTTTGTATGTGTGTGCACACGTCTCTGTGTATGTTTGGAGGAGTCTTTGTGTATATATTGGTGTGTGTCTATGTGTGGCTATGTGTGTCTGCATGTGTGTGCATCTGTGTGTGCACACACTCAAATACCAGCCTGGAACCACCCAAGAATTTCCTCTGGGCCAGGCTCTGGGCTGAGCCTCTGCCTGCAGGAGATCATTCAGCCCTCACGGTGCACCCAGAGACAGGTACTACCACTACCCCATTTTACAGATGATTACATGTAAGCCCAAGGTGCAAAAACACTTTCCTGGGCCTCAGCTTCCTTCTCTTTGCACAAGAAAAAGTTTCCAACATTTGCAAATCGGCAAACCGGTAATGCGTGGCTTTGATTAATGCTACGCTCGAGTGTTTTCTAAGAAGCCCCCCAACCGTCCTCCGGCCATCTCGGGGGTATAATTAGGTTGGACTAACTCACAGAGCTACCCTGACCTGTGTTTTACAGAAGTGAGAGCCACGGGTGAAGGCTGTGGCTCTGTGGCCAAGCGGGGCGCTACAGCCGTGTTCCCACCTTGGCTGTCTTATTTCGGCCTTTCTCTTCCGCCTGCGGATAGACAGCTCTCCCTTCACGTGCTATGGGAACCGGCGCCCCTGCCTTCCTGCTGATGCCCTCAGGGTCGAGAAAGACCCGGGAATAAAACAGCCGCTAACCAATGCTTCCGCGTATAGGTCATGGTCCGCTGTCAAAACCCAACCCAGGTCATTGGCTCTCAGTCACCGCAGAGAGAGACGGGCCAGCGCTTTGCTCCTCACTGAGCCGATCCACAAGCTCTGGGGTGGCATCCTCCCCATGCCTCACCCTTTTCCTTTGAACGCCTCCCTCAAAATCCTACTGCTGCCGGCCTCCCCGTCCCTGGAGGAATAGCTGGGCTGTCACTAATGCATAAATAGTGGGCATTGCAGCCATGATCTTGGTGCCCCTGCCCCTCCTGACCCAGGCCACCTCTCCTCGGCTCTCACCTGCGTGCGTGACCTGCAGAGAAGCCCCCAGGAGGAGCATGACCAGGAGCAGCATCTTCGGGGGAGTCATGGTGCCAGGAGCCCAGGAGAGGACCTGTGAGTGTAGGTCCTTCTGCTCGGGAGGAGGTGAGGATGGCAGCCAAGTATGGAGGTGACCTATTTAACCTCTTTGGGGATCTTGCCCCACCTCCTGTCACCTCCCCCAGACATTCTTCGCTACACCAGTGGAGTCTGAAGATTTTGAGATGATTCAGCACAAGTCGAATCTTGGAATGTTTGTGGCTTTCCAGAGAATGGACACTCCGTTGGGGACAGAGGTGGGGTATGTGTGTCCGGGGGCCACGACAGTGACATACTTCTCCTTTCACAGGGACATTTCTTGGTTCCTTTATTAAGCAGAACTGAAAAGCCTCTATCCTAAACCGGGTTGGCCTCTGCCCTGAGGCTGGTGAGCCTCCTTCAAGCATTGTGTCCTGTATGTGTAGAGGGTGAAGGGGACAGCAAGAGAGGAGCCAAGAGGGGCTGCCTAGCCTGGGCCTGGAGGAGCTCCCGGGCTCCAGGCAGGCCTCCTGGCGGGGGGGGGGGGGTCAGCAGGCTGCATGGGCACAGGGCGTCTTTCAGGGGGTACCCCAGCTCCACTCATTCTGAGAAAGGCCCAGGGCCCAGATGACTTTGGTTGTGGGTGCTTCCCCAAGCTGGGCCCTGAACCACAGGAGACCAGAGCCTGACAGGTTTTAATCACCATTTAGTCCAAATTGGCCCCTCTATAGATTGGGAAGCCCAGCTACCCAACATGGGGCCCCTCACCCCGGGTGGCAGGGATCTGCGAGGGCCCAGTCTGCAGCGGACATGTGGTCAGGGTCCAACGTGAGCCGCGAGCAGACTTTCCATGCACCATGGGCCACAGCATCCCTGCATCGGGCCCCTCCCCCGGCCACCAGAGAAAATGGCCAATGGTCTGCTTCGGGCTTCCCTGGGCCGGGTGTTAGGAGTCCCTTCCCCGCGAGGGAGAAGGGCCCGATGCAGGGATGCTGTGGCCCATGGTGCATGGAAAGTCTGCTCGCGGCTCACGTTGGACCCTGACCACATGTCCGCTGCAGACTGGGCCCTCGCAGATCCCTGCCACCCGGGGTGAGGGGCCCCATGTTGGGTAGCTGGGCTTCCCAATCTATAGAGGGGCCAATTTGGACTAAATGGTGATTAGAACCTGTCAGGCTCTGGTCTCCTGTGGTTCAGGGCCCAGCTTGGGGAAGCACCCACAACCAAAGTCATCTGGGCCCTGGGCCCTTCCCATGCCCGCTTCCAGGTGGCAGCATCTCAGCAGGGTGACCCTGGACCCTGGTTCTGACAGGTGGGACCCGGGCCCAGCTCCGCTCTGTCCCCGAGTGGCCCGGAGCCGCTCAGATGACCCCCGGGCCTGCACCATGGGATGCACGTGTTCCTCTCGCCACAGCCGGCTCTGTCAACCTGGGACCATTGTTACATCTTCATCAGCAGGGATGGTGACCACAGCAGGTGCTGGCTGTGGAAAGCCACCCCGATGGGGGGAGGGGTGGTGCTCAGACTGTCACCCGCCAGTCCTCGCAGGGCTCCTCCCCCCCCCCCACCCCAGGGCCACCTTGGCAGGCTGGGTCCCCTTCTCGTGCTGGTCGGGGGACTGCCCTGTCCACGGCAGGGCGTCCCCTGGGCAGGATCGTCTGTCACCGTCTTGCTGTGTGCCTTTGGGCAACGCACAGACCCTCTGTGGGCCTCACGTCATCACTGGTAGAGGGATGTTTGGACTGTCCCGGGGGCCCCACCAAAACGGCAGGTCTGACGTAGCTTGGTCCTCTCAGTGGCTCTCACACCAGCATTTCCTTGCTTCTCTTAGGGTCATGTCCCCCACTCCTCAAGCCACAGCCAGGGGGGTTTTTTGCCCCCAGCCTGTTTGGCTGGGCCATTCTTCCTGTCTCTGGGACAGGCTGCAATCTGCATGTGCAGCAGAGGGGAGGGGAGGGGAGGGGGGTCTTCCTGCCTGTGCTCATCTTGGGCACCCAGCTTACTGCACAAAGTGGGGCCAACCTCCACCCCAAACAGAGAAGCGCCGAGCAGGCCCCATCCTGAGGAGTCAGAGGAGGCCAGCCTGGACGGGGGAAGGGGTGCTGGTGCCCTCGTGAGCCTGCCTGGGAGAAGACCACTCTGGCCTGGGGAAGACCTGGGCTCAGAGGAGATGCAAACACCCCGAGGTGCTTGGGGAGGGCCTGGGTCCCAGGAGGGGCAGAGGATTTCTCTGCCGATGCTGCCCCTTGTGGGTGGAGTGTCTCCTGACCCTCTCCGTCCTTCAGGCTCTCTGCCCAGTGGCTTCTCCACCTGCCACAGGGGCCATGGATTGCTCTCCTGTGTTGGACAAGAGGGGGCTGTGAGAACGATGATTAACAACTTTATTACCAACGAGGCTGCCCAGCCCCCACCACTGGGGAAACTCCCTGACTGGGGCTTGAGTCCCCCCCACCTCTTCTGCCACCAACTGAGAACTTTTCTCCAGAAGGACCCAAATTCCCCTATCCCTTCTAGGGAATTGGTTGTGACAGCAGGAGCAGAAGGTTCTGGACTAACTGTGGCCTGGTGCAGGATGCCTGGCAAGGGAGGGCACAGAGCAGCAAACATGTCAGTGGGCACCTGCTGTGTGTCAGGTACTCTGCCCGGGGCTGTGGAGGGAGGGGAACAAGGCCTGGCCCAACCTAGGAATGTGCACGCGACAGAAAGGGCTGTGGGCCCAGAGCAGGGAAAGGTTGCTTCTTGCTGAGAGACCTTGGAGGGCTTCCTGGAGGCAGTGGTCAGCGAACTGGGCCTTGTGGCTGGGAGGATTCACACCAGAAGAAGGAGGGGTGGGCATTTCACAGGAGGGAAGCGCCTAGCACGGCGCAAAGGAGGGAATGTGCAGAGATTAAGGGAGAGAAGCAGCCCAGAGTTCGGGGGGGGGCGGGGTGCGGACACGGTCCCGATGTGACGTGCAGACCGTAAATGCTGTGACGACAGGGGCACGTCCGCCACCGTGTGCATCCCAGCGCCTGCACACAGCCCACTCTTGACCATGAACAAAGCACAAGGACAAGGAGGTCAGCTGGACCCAGAGCCTGGGGAGAAGCCGCAGAGAGTACCTCACTTTGGAGACAACACAGACCAGGGACATTTTTGAGGTGGTTTCCTTGCCAGGGGTTAACTGGCTTATTCCTCCTCGGCTCTCCCAGCTATGAAATGGGTTCCCGGGGACCTTCCAGATGGGATGTCCTGGAGTCTGGGACTATGCTAAGGGCCTCAAGAGACCTTTACGGTGCTGGGCAGACTCTAGGGCTCGGAGGTCGGGCAGGGGAATCAGGAATGCTCCCTGGAGGAGGCAGTGGTGAGGCAGAGTTCTATGGAGGCTGGCTGGGGAGAGGGCGCCGGAGGAAGGGCAAGGTCACAGGTGGGGAAGGCGGGCTAGATGCAGGCCGAGTAGGACAACAGAGTTAAAGGGGAATTGGACCTGAGTGGAAGGGAGAGGCCAGAGTGACTGCCTGTCTCAACACCTCTGACTCAAGCTGGCCAGACTCACCGCCTTCACACCTGCCACACTTGCTGCCCCAGGGCCCGAGACCATGGCCACAAGGAGTCCCTGAAGGACTAGAGAGGATCAAAGTTCCCCCACCTTAGCTTGGAGGGGCTGCACCAGCCGGATTCTGGGTACCTCACCTTGAAAGGGAGGGAGGGAATTCTTCTGCCCCACCTCTGGCTCTGCTGTGGGCTGGGGCAGAACCAGGGATGCTGTTGTCGAAACCCCCAAGAACTTAGCCCCAAACCACTGAGCAGGGGCCAGGTTGCTAGGATGGAAGCTCTCTGTCATCTTCCAATTGCACATGACAATTGTCACTGAGGTGGCAGCCCATGACAGCTGAGGCTCCAGGAGGAAGAATGACTTGCCTGGAGCCTCCCAGTAAGGATCTAGCATTTTGTCCATTGAGCTCTGTCCTCTGACAGCTGAAGCTAGATTCATTTTGTCCTTCCCATGGTGGCTGATATGTGAAGATCCCACATGTCATCCCCATTCCCCAATCCCGAAATACCTCCCACTCCCCTGTCCCAAGGGCCTGATGTATTCACTGATGAGTCAACCTTCCCTGACAGGTCGTCCGTCTCCTTGACCCCCCCATGGTCAATGGGCAAGACCTGTTCAGCAGGCCACCTGGATGTGTCCTTAACCAATCCCCTTGTCACCATCCACATGGCCCCCCATCTCCAACTCCCTGCTGGACTCCAGCCCCACGCTCATCTCCCAGCTCCCGGGCTTGCCACTCCAATCCACCCTCCTCTCTAAAGCCCGGAGATCTTTCCAAAACACAAATCTGAGCAAGGCTCTCCCCTCTCAAAAATCCTTCCATACCTCCCCATTGCCCTCAGGATGAAGTCCAGATTCTCACTGACAACTCCAGCCTCAACTTCTGCCTCCAGCCCCACCATCTACCCCATTACTTTATTCTAGCCACATGGACCGTCTTTCAGTTCCTTGAAAATGCCAGGCTCTTTGTATAGCTCTTCCCCCTATCTGGAACTCTCTCTCTTGCTCCCCCACACGGCACTTCCTTCCACCCCTACCCTCCTCAGATCACAGCCTAAACCCTCACTTCCTTCCTTCAGCCCCCACCTTCCTCTGTGTCCGCACAGGTCACTGGCTTCCCTCTCATGCTCTCATCACATTACACTGTGATCACTGGTTTGTTTGCCGGGTCTTACATGGAAGACTGTGAACTCCTTGAAAACAGGATCTCTTCTGTGTTCCTACTTGTAGCTCTAGGACTTAGCACCCAGTAGGTGCTCAATAAAATATGTTTCTTGACTAGGTAAGAGGTGGATGGTTGGATGGATGGGTGAATGAATGAATGGATGATGGATGAAGGATGGGTAGCTGGATGGATGGATGATGGATGGATGGACAGATGGATGGGTAGAAGGCTGGATGGATGAATAGGCTGATGGATTTCTGAATTTCTGAACTACAGCTTGGGCATAGCTTACATTCTATCCCAGGGTCTCTTTCACTCCAGAACAAATTAT